AAGAAGCTCATGAAGTCATTGCTATGTAAGTTTATGGGGATATGTGGCTCAATAGAGCTGTGACTCTCTGTGGCTACAGTGCTGAAGAGGAACCTAGGGTTGTTCTTATTTTCTTCTATTAGCAAGAGAAGTTGGTCGTTCCAAATCTCTGATTTCTAGAATATTGCATCTTTACAATGTCACAAAATCATTCGAGTCCCCCAAGAAGCTGGTCATCCACGACAAATGCAAGAGAGGACATGATAATTCAGAGAATCTCAGTGGGCACTCGGTTCAACGCTGCAGCTGGATTTGCTCGCCAGTTCAGCACTGTTCAGGGTAAGGTCTTGTCAAACAGTGTCTCGACGTTTAAAAGCATTTGGACTGAAAGCCCACTCTGCAGTGACCAAACCTCTCATTAGCAGAAAGAATCAAAAGGCTAGACTAACCTTTGCTGAGGAGCATGTTGTGTGGACAGAGGAGAACTGGTCCAAAGTTCACTTTACAAAAAGACTTGTTCACAAAAGCAAGTTTAATTTATTTGGGTCCGATGGGAAACAATATGTTTGTCGTCAAACTGGGGAAAGACTGAACCCAGAGTCCTGATCTAAACCAAGTAGAAAACCTCTGGAAAGTTCTTGGCTGTTGACCTGTATTTTGTACAACACTGTTCTAATAGCATTGAATAAAAATCTCTTCAAATGTTGAGCAATGAAGTTTAAATAATTTCTGAAAAAATCAAGTGTTCCTAAATTGATATTTCAATTTTGATCTCCAATGTATATATATCTCTTGTCATGTCAGGATGGCCGTCTGACACTCTCTGAGCTACTTGACAAGATGGACTACATTAAGATCAGCACCATCACTGACTATGGAGGCATGAAGGTGGACAGCCATGATGAGTTCTGAAAAGCTGACTACAGAAAAGGATGAATTATGTCTTCGTACTTGCTGCTTGAAAGTATGTGAGCTTTTACACATATTGTTTTACCATTATTTATTTAATCAGAAACACTATTTTTCTATATGAAATAACAGGTGTATATTTATCAAATCCATATAATATAGGAGTATATTTTTTGTATACTTTTGTAGGGGTAAAATTTGTGAACACTGAGCTGTATCACTTAAAACGAGCAGGTAAATAAACTTTGGTTAATTTAGTCAACAATTTTGTGCCACCTATGAAATGGGGAAGAAACAAGAAACTATCACGCTGAGAGTAGGACCGCACAATTAATCACAATATTATCAAAATCACAATATGGCCAAGTGTAATATGCAACTCACAGAAGCTGCAATTTTTGATCAAGGTAAAATGTTTGACAAACAGCATTGTAATGAAGTACTGTAGTTCTGCAGAGGTGGGAACTGTTCGGTCTCTGTAAATAATTTTATATTAAATTGAAAATTCAGGGCATCTCCTACAAATTGTTTTCCAGATGTAAGAAAACATGATTGATTGGTACAGAACTCAAACATTGTTGCATCAGCATTATTTTAATTGTTGTTTCAGTGAATTTAATTTCTACAGTAATGAATGAAATTGTGAATCATATTACAACACAATATCTGTCAAATGAATCACAATATGTTTTTACCATATCATGCAGCACATTTGTCTGGAGGCTATAAATTCATCTAAAAAGTGTAAGCTCCATTGGTCCATAGTTCACAAACTTTTGAGCAGCACTGTATTTGTCTACTTTAGCAGATCAGTCAATAATGAACTGGCCAACTAGAGCAGCTCTGATTCAAAAGCAGCACTGCAAACTTGATGAGGACTTCCAAGGTGCATTTTCAGAGATGCACCCATGGAATTTGTCAGATACTGCATACAGTTACTGAATTTTATTACTATAGCTACATATAATAAAAACATCAAGCCATTGGTTTTTAATGTAAACGACTTTCTCTCTCTTAACATGTGACATCATTTCTACTTTACTGTTAAATAATGTGACATCACTGCGTTCAATGCAGTTAAATTTGAGGAATGAGTCTCATATACAATACATTCTCTCTCACACACACACACAAATAAAAAAACAAAACAAAACAGAACATTTGTCATCAGGGTGTAAGATGTGGAAATGCTTTATTATCACTGGCTGCAAATACTTTTCATAAATTGGCAGTCAATCTTTTAAATATAAAAATGTTATTCAGGATGAAACTGTATTTTAAATGAAAGACAAAACATCTATGAGGGACTAAAAAAACCCCCAACTAATTGCTAGTTACCTACAAAGGCCATCAAAACAAGTGAAAGTTGTTCATACACTGTTAGGAGTCCATTACAAACATACTGTATATCACAGAACTAAAGTTAGGATGTACTGTACATACAGTCATGGCGACAACGCCGTTAAGATCCCATATTCTCACACTTGCATCACTGGACGAGCCTCTTTGGCACGGAGGTCAACCCCGGAGGCAGCAAAGCCGGTTCCACCCTGTCAGAACACGAAAGACTATCAGCACCACTGTAACACTGTGACACTGTTGTGTTCAGAACTTAGTACAAAAAAACCTGTTCCTGCATTATGACTAAAAGCTACATGGGCTTTCAGACAGTGAGCCATTACTGTGTCTGCCACTGGGGACTGTCTTATAGGTCCAGTAATAGAGTATAATATCAGGGATAAATGCTAATTTATGCAATTGTGGCTCCAAACAGGAACATCAGGAACATGGAGAGTCTAATAGCTCAACCATAAACATCTATAGCAGTAAAATGCAAACTACACATAAATGCAGCAGTAATATTAATCCAAAAACATCAGACATAGTGCAACACTTAATTTTACTGTACAATGACTACTTGTACTTTTGATTGACTTTAAATACATTTTGCTAAAATACTTACATACTTTTCCTTTATATGGTTTAGAATAAAGAAATTTTACTTGCAGTGCAGCGTGTTTGTACAGTTGCCCAGAATGGAAAAACCAACCACTGGCTCTAGAGAGGGCCTTTCATGTTTTTTTTATGAGTTTTGTGGCCAACGTAGTTTCTCCTTCATGCTTGGAAGGTCTACACCACTAGACGCCACTAAATTCTACACACTGGACAGTAGCAGCCCGCTGACTGCCATTGTGTCAACATCAGAAACAATGGACACACGGTCTAAAAGCACCTTATGTCAGTGTTCTTACCCAGGAGATTAGTAAATGCAAATCCAAAGAAAGGTGATTTTAGCCAACCTCTACACAGAAGTACACACATACCCTCTGCAGTGGTACAATATCTTTGTCAGAAAGATTGTCTCCAGTCATAGGATCAATCATGTCCTTCTTGATCAACTTCTCCACACACTCCTGAGTTACCACAGTACCCCTAAGGACAGGACAGAGAGTGTATCAGTTAACCCTTCAGAGTCCAGAGAACGCCTAACATCTGAAATGTTCGAGTGAAGGTAGATATGTTGGCACTCACGAGGGTCGCAGAACAGCACACGGGACACTGTTGCCCAGGACGTCTCTGGTTACTGCACATACATACCGGTCCTGAAGGGAAATGACAGGATTGTATCAGTAGGGTAGGGGAAATACATCTACTTATAACACACAGAACAAGATTTGAGCATGATGTCATTGCCTGTGATGTGACATCTAGTAACTGTCTGTTTGGTTAAGGGGCGGCAAACTTATTGGACGAGCTCATAAAATCATGTTAATTGGGTAGTAGAACACCTTGTTAAATCTATGTTAGCAATAATGTTATTTACAGAGTTAGTACAGAGGATTTGTTGTGTTTTTTTTAAACAAAGATGCACACAACTATCAAGCTAGTAAGTGCATGAGGTAAGATTTCAGCTGACCACGTTGCCTGATGGTGCTGATGTAAACTGACCTGGCGGGTGAGCAGGGCCACTCGGTCCAGGCTTGAGTCCAGTGGGGTGAAGCGCACTGTGATAAGCTCGTTCATCTTAATGGGTCGTCCTGACATGGGACATAACACAGCCTTACTCTGGCAGATACAAGAGGAAGAAGAGAAGAGGGGCGTGATTAGAAAAGCGATCTCTGCAGAGCAAAGTTGTGACTGTTCAGCTAAAAGGAGGTTTCGATCTTTGGATGCAGGGTCAACCTGGCTTCTGCCTTTAAAGCAGGTCAACATGAAACAGAGATACACAAAATAAACAGACAGAGAATATCATGACATCAACATTTAAAGCAAACAGGCGACTCTGGCAACAACCACAGACAGACACACAGACCGGGTCAAATGACTCTGCAGTGGTCTGTTACG